GCTGGACTCATGATAAGCCTTATACTAATACTGGCCATAGCTGTAATAGAAATAGCAGAGGTAAAATTACTGTGTACTATGTGTCAGTGACTGTTTTATAATCACATCTGGTTGGCTTCCTTCAACAACTCTCTGCAGTATTTAATGTTATAATCATTATTTTATTCACTGACCCTCAGAGAGACAAGAAACTTGCCAATGAACACAGTAAACAGAGAGGATATTCTCCCCTAGCAGTCTGATTTTAGAGGTCCATCTTTGAACTCTTACATTATGGCCTCTCTATTAACCTTAAATGTCCTCAAAATATTTTTTTAAAGAAATGATATATCAATCTGAATTTTAGAAACACAATTTCAATCTCTTATGTGGTACATGGATTGCTGAGGATAAATATGAAAAGTGAGACAGGCACAGTATTACTCAATGAGAGAGCACTTTGTTTATAATAAGCCCCAAAGTTACAAGTTATCTTACCAGGTCAAAGCAGCAGCAGCTCCTTGTTTCAAGGGTCACAAACCATAACTCAAACAAGTCCAAATCAACCTGCATGTGCAAGTCTCTGGTCATAGAAATAAGTGAAAAAGGACCAGCTACAAGGTAGAAATTCACCACCTACTAGTGAAAACAATTCCTAAAGCATATGCACCCATGCAGTTTATAGGTTTGAGTATGAAAACAAAATTAATTTAATTCAAAAGAACCATTAAAAAGATGTAGCTTAGGGACTGGGAATGTGGCTTAGCGGTAGAGTGCTTGCCTGGCATGTAGGAAGCCCTGGGTTCCATTCCTCAGGACCATATAAACAGAAAATGCTGGAAGTGGTGCTGTGGCTCAAGAGGTAGAGTGCTAGCCTTGAGCAAAAGCAGCCCAGGCCCTGAGTTCAAGCCCCAGGACTGGCAAAAAAAAATAAAAAGTACCTTAGCTTAGAAATTTGGTCAAACTTCCATTTTTCACCCAGCTTACCAATTTTTCTGGCTTTCTGTATCACCAGCTGCTACCTGATGAAGTTATCTATAGTTACATGAGTGTCCAAATGGTTTTCCACCTCACATATGAGCTAATGTTTTTAACATGCTTGTGACTTTATCTTGAATATTAAGACAACTAATATTAAGTAAAATATTAAATTCAGTAAAATACAAATGTTAAACCTGTAACATACCTATATAAAATATTACCTGCTCAACTTATGCCAACATATATTCTATTCTATGCCTGAGACTTACTCATTAACAAATGAGTTTATACTCTTTATAATAATAAACTGGATAAGGGTACACAAAGTATACAAAGATAAAATCATTTCACTTTACAGACCTGAAAAAGAGCATTAAAGAGGTACATACTACCTACTAAAGAAAACTTATTAAATATACTTACTTTTCTAATTTCAAATATTAAAGATAGTTTCTTTGAGATAATTATCTCACCATAAACTCACTAAAGAGTAGACAAACTACTTACATTTAACTTTAATTTTTTAAAAAAGCTGGGGGGAGATTATAGGCAATAAAAACAAATTATTAATGCAGATCAAAAACCTAATGTAGATCATCTAAACATTTTATGTACTATCTGATGATTAATTTAAGAAGGACTTCCTGATAAAATCCTTTTGGTCACAAACCCCAACTGGGCACTGGGCATGTATGGAGATCATCATCAAAGAAAGGAGGAGATGGAAAGAGATCAGCAATATGAATTTGTACACTAAGCTCAGGCAGTGAGCTAGAAACTTTTACACTCACTATCTCATTTAAATTCTAAACTACCATGAGGTAGACCTTGCAGTTCCTCCCCATTTTACAGAAGGTATTTCATAACTTTGGGGCTAGGAAGGTGGCTCAGTGGTAGAGCGCTTGCCTTGCATGCATGAGGCCCTGGGTTCAATTCCTCAGCACCACATAAGCAAAAAGAAAAAAAGCCAGAAGCGGCGCTGTGGCTCAAGTGGTAGAGTGCTAGCACTGAGCTGAAGAGCTGAGGGACAGTGCCCAGGCCCAGAGTTCAGGTCCCACGACCGGACCCCCCCCCCAAAAAAAAAAAATTGGGAGCATAATCTGATTATAAAACAGAGTATTTAAAATTAAAATATCCCTCTCCCCCAAAAAAATCCACGGTCATTACCTCGGTATGTTAAACTAAATTCCTCTTGCCAGAATAAAAGCAGCAAAGAGAGGGTAGAAGATGGCTTTCAAAACTGACTGACTAGCATGCTGCCTTTCCAATAAGAAATTTGCTTATGGCTTCTCCTCCTAAGCCAGAACACAAATCTAAGATTTAATTAACTATCTCAAACTTCAAAATCATTTGCTAATGAATATTTCCATAATTATTTAACCAACCTCAGAAACATTTCAGTATTTCTCTCTTTGATAACCTGACAATTAATGGATGACACAGCTATTACTTGAAGATTTGCAAAAATATTAACTTGTATTCTAAGTGGAAAATACAGAACCTGCTCTCAAAAAATACAGCATCAGCACCTGAAATAACATCTTAAAAGGATTATTTCTAATTATATTTACCAAAAAAAAGTTTGTTACATATAACCATTACGGAAACATATAATCTCTACACAGGAGAGAGAGAGAATGATGGGAAAGGGCGACATTGATCAAAATGCACTGTACTCATAAGCTGACAAGATTCACTGAAACCCCTTTGTACAACTATTTAAAGATAATAAAAAATAAAGCATGAATGGAAAAAAATTATATACAGGAGGAAATTTTTCTCGAGGCATAATTTAACAGGCTGTTATTACAATTACTTTTGAGCCTCAAAAAGTTATCATTTCTTCCCCTGATCATCCTTCTGATAATTAAAAAAAAACCTTTGATAAGACTAGTTAAGTGTAATTAATTGTAATTTTAACACCTTTGTTATAACGTGAAAATAACTAAAATCCATAGCGTGAGTTAAATGAAATAGGTAAGCAAATAATTGTTTAGAGAGGCTACAAGTATTGACTGCTTTAGTAAATAAGTGTTTATGAGACGCACTCTTCCAAGAGAATTAAGAGAGTCTACAAACAATTCAAAACCCCTAGCTTGAGCTCGTCTAAGGATTTTCATTATTATAATATCACTATCTAGGATTTTGCAACCACACTCACTGAACACTAAGTGATACCAGTGTCAGTGATTGCATCACCGTATACAACGAATGCGAACCATTACGGTCTAATATGACAGGCACGTGCTTAGCAATATCCCCTTTATATAAACATTACATTTAATATCACCTCTAATTTAAATCGGCACCTGCTTCGAAAACACTTCACTCTTGCCCTGAAAGTTGCCTTTTACAGGAAAATAAGTGACAACGCTCCCCCAAAACAACTGGACACACCAATGCCCTAGAAACACAATACAGTTATTTTTATCCTCACTTCCTAAACCCACATTATTACACGAAATGTCATTGTAATGCATTTTTTAAAAATCTATTCTGTTTACTTTTTCCACGGCCTGTTCAAGTACTGCCAAGGCAACACAGATTTTAAAAACTGACAACTACAATACTTAGCAGTTGCCAAAACAACACAGCTGGATTCTTAAAGGGAAAGTACTCTTGTGTAACCTACACCTAATTACAGTTCCAGAGCGCCTCATCTTATAGTAATAGACGCGACAAGACACAGGGGGAAACGATCGGCGCTACCAACGCGAAAACCTGTTTAGACAATGTGAGTTTAAAACCTGCCTAGTATTTATCCACACATGACGGCTGTTTGGGCTTCCAAACAGCACACGGTTACTGGAATCCCCACCTCGGTGAAAACCCAACCTGCAGGTTAACACGGGCTGGATTCAGGCTGCACATGAACTCCACCCCCCCACACACACACACACCACACACATCGGATCAGCACAGGAGAGACGCGTTGCACAACTAGGAAATCCCTTCGCAGATTTGTCTGAACCAAGAATTGTTATAGTTACACTTTCACCAGTTGTTGTGGTTTTTAGATTCTCTCCCCTTCCTTAAGAAAAACAACCACCACCACCTCACTCAGGAAAAGGCTCACCTTTCCCAAACTTGTTTGCACTGTCACCTAGTGTTTTGTATATATAGAATCCTCACGGTTGGAGTGACAGGAAATCGGAAGGCGACCACACAACGCCGTCCTGCCTGCCTGCTGCTGGGGGGGGGGGGGGGGGGAGCCCTCGGCGGACCCCTAGATCCCGAGAGGTCGCCTGGCAGCGTCCGGCGTCTGTACCCCGCAGGTGTCCCCCCCACCCCACACACACACTCGAGTTCAAACCCAAAGGTTCCACCCCGTTACATCAAGCTTCTCCCACCACCCAAGTGGGGGAACTTGTTCAAGTCCAAGCCCGAGCACCCCCCACACACACACACACACTCACCCCAACACTCGCGGGGTGCGAGGGGGAAGATCGATCCTCCCAGGGGAGGACCCCTGGCCCGGCTCCGCAGCCCCCCCCCCCACACACACACACCCCGCTCCGGGAACTCCTTCTTCAACTTTCAAGGAGGAGACCGCCGCCGCCGCCCCTCGGCCCCCTACGCGGTGCGCGCACCCCGAGGCCGCCCGCCGCGACCCCGCGTGGCCGAGCACCCACCCCCCCCGCCCTCCAGCAGCGCCCCGCCGGACCCCCCCTCCCGGGCCCGCCCGCGGGCACCCCCGCCCCCACCGCGAGGGCGCCTCGCCCCTCGGCGTCCTCCCCCCCCCCCCCCCCCCCCCGCAACACACACCCCTGCGCCCTCCGCGCCCCGCCGTCGCCAAGCCCGCGACCCCGGTTCCCGTCCCGGCCGGACCCGGCCTGCTCGTGGGGACCCCCGCAGCTGCTCACTCCCCCCGGCCGCCCCAGCCACACACACCCGCACACACTTCACGGCCGCGCCGTCCCCGACCCCTGCACCCCCCCCCCACCTCAGCCCCGGCGTCGCCACCTCACCGGGCCACCGCCCCCCTCCGGCACCACTGCCATCCCCGGTGGGGAGCACCCCCCGTCGTCCGCGGTCCTCACCGTCTCTCCGGCGCAGCTGGCGGGCTCACACGCGCCGCAGCCCGGGCCCCGCCACCACACTCCGCGCGCCGCCCGCCCGCCCGGAGCCGCCGCCTCCTTCAGCCCGGGACTCGCCGGGACATCCGCGCACGGATCCCCACACCGGGGCTATTTTTAGGAGACAGGCCTCGGCCAGACCGGAACTCGTTCTTCGAGGCGCGCATGCGCCCTGTGCCTTCGTGTTCAGTGTCCCTCCGCCGGCCTTGCTTCTTTCTCCTCCCCCCCCAGCCACCCCCCCCCCTCAGCTCCGACGCCCCTCCCCCTGCCTCTCCCGGAAGGTTTCTTTTCAGGGATGATTTCTCCTCTCGGTAGGTTCTGGAGTGCTTGGAATTTGAAGGACAGCTATAAAGGCAAAGGGAACCACACGGTGTAGAAGCGAGCGCTAATTCCAGAAGGACGTGAGGGACGGACTATGTTTTTTTCCCCGGTGGGTGAGGAAGGAGACGGATCACCCGGCACAGGAAGGAGATGACGGCGGTTTGGCGCCGGTGCTACATGCTGGAGCTCGCTTGAGGGACCGTGTTCTCCTGGAAGGGATACTGGTCACTTGACAGGAGCCTCGGGCGCCTCCTAGGGCGGGGCGGCCCCTGGCGGCACCGCTGCCGCCCGCCCCCGCCGCCCCTGCTTCCCTGACCAGCACGCGGGAGCAGGAGCCGGGAGCTGCCCTAGTGACGCGGCGCGTGACAAATAGCCGCGCGTGGCTCGTAGTCTCAGCCAACCCGGGACGCCGGGAGGCGGGGCTTTGCTCCTTGGGCGTGGCCTTAGTCTTGGGGGCGTGGTTTGCTTCCCGGGGGCGGGGCCTCGGCTGGGTGCGCGTGTCCAGCAGTCTTCCTGGGGCAGGTGCCTACCGAATGCCCTTCGGGTCGGCCCCCAAAGCCCCCTGCGGAGCTGCGGGGCTAAGGCCAGCTCCCTCGCCATCAGATCCCACTTGGTTTCCGCAGACCTCGAGTGCGCCCTCCCTGAGGGGGGTGGGGGGAGATGCACCTGTGCTCCCACGAGTGCAACCACCTGGTCACCCTTCCTCAGTAAGACCATACTTGGGTCTCCACACACACGATGCCTGGAGAGCGACCACTTGGTCCTGGCCCCAAGATCCTAGGACCTGAAGGAGCTTGGAAAGCCAAGGACATCGAGGTTCAACCAGCCCATCTGCCTCCCCCGTGTCCCAGGAAAAGAAGCAACCCGCCTACCTTCACTATTAATCAGTGTGCTTTTAACACTAAATGGTGTGATGACCATTTTGTGAAGTCGATTTCAGTTTTTTGTGCCCATTTTACAAATGAGGAGAAGGAAGCTGAGAACCAGGTGAACTATCACGTCACTGGGCTTCAGGAAAGGGCAACGAACCTGACCACTTTGCATACTGATTTCTCTGTAAGAAGGGCAAAGGGAGCAACTGTTGTGTTTCTGGTTAGTTTTGTGAAGAGAAATCTTTAGGGGCTGAGCTCTATCATCCTGAAAGCTGCTCACCCTCTGGATGGGTCCTCAGAGCTATGCTGTCTACATCTGCACCCAGAAGTTCCTCTGTAACACGAGGCCAAGGAAATTCAATCCTGTGCAAACTGCTTTGAAATAAAGTGGCAGGGATGGGCAAGCCAGATGCAGAGAGGCTGTGGGTAGAGGAACTGGGAAGTTACAAAGGAAGCTGGAGGCTCTCTGGTCTCCTTGCACAAGGACAAAAAAGCAATGAGCTGGGGAGAGTCCAACATCAAGACAGCACAGAGACACCAGACACTGAGAAATAAAGGCAGAGCGCTGCTCAGAGCCCTAAATCAATGTCCAGTGGGGGGGGGGGGGGGTGGAGGAGAAGCTTTATCTTCCCCCATAACCCTTTAAAAGAAGTATTCAGCCTCGACTCCAAGGATTTTAAAACACATTAAAATTTAGTGTAAATCAGCAAGTCCTGTTTAAAAAAAAAAAATGCCTGCCAGAAACTGTGGAGCCAGCTGGATTTGGCACCTCTGCTCCAGGAAAATAGGACGCATTTGATTTTTTTTTCTTTTAAAGCTAAGGTTCTAGGGTGAAGGACAGTGAGGAAGGGTTCCTCCTCCCAACCTGCCCTTCATCTTGAAAAAGAAAGAAGACCCTGAAGACAGGCTTCCAAAAGCACCCTCAGCTGGCTTCATTTCAGCACCCACTAGAAGATGAGCCTTGAGCAGCACAAAGACTCAGCCTAGACTGCCCACCAGCACCTAGTCCAGTGGTAGAGAGGCCACCCCTGAAGCCAGTCAGAGAACATGGCCACACATCCAGCCCAGGCAGAAATGAAGAATATTTGAATAGCTTTAGAGAGAACTTTCTGCCTACCACCTTCTACGTCATGAAGCCCTTCTGTAGGAATTGCCTTGCGATTAAAAAGGAAAAGAGGGAGAGAAACAGAGAAAGAAGGGAAGGAGGGGGAAAGAAGAAAGAAAGGAAAGTAGGAAGGAAGAGAGAGAGAGGTAGGGAAAGAAGGAAGGAAGGAGGGAAAGGCAGGGCTTACGTTCTGGAATACAACTGTTATAAAATACATTAGCGGAGTACCATCAACAGTTATTTATCATTTAAGTAACTAACTTGAGGAAGTCGTTACGGCCTTGGTTCAGATCTTGAAAATCTACTCCTAAAGCCAACATGCTCTGACTTCTAGAGTTCAGCCCGGCAGGGACATGTGCTATTTTCTTGGATGGAACTTCTGAGAAACAACATGAGTCAGTCCTCCTACTCTACCTGGCTTCCTTAAAGGCACGCAGGGTTCCAGGTGTGTGTGAAACTGTGTCTCAGTGTCTTGTGCAATGCACAAGAGTTGTGAAGAAGAGCAGCCTCTCCCCTTTCAAAGAGGCTCTCAGGCTATCGGGAGAAGATAGAATTTAGAACATAATCCAGTTTGACAATACAGTGAAAGGAAGTTACCTGAGTATCAAAGAACACAGACATTGAGCATCTAAAGAAGGAAGACAGGAAAGTTTTCTTAAGCCTCCTTCAGGACAAGAAAGGGCCGCTCCCCTTTCTCCCCTTCTTGATAGGAAACATAAACCCAAGCTGCCTAGGAAACAGATTCCTGATCAGAGTGGCCTTTTAAACCTTCTCCCTGCCTGTCACCTCCCTGTTCCTATCTAGAAACCCAAGAAGCGGTTTTGTGCATGTCTGATTTTTTTCCCCTTTAGATCCATCAAATCTCCACTTAGGTGTCACTTTCTCTAAGGGCTTATCTCAAAGACAGTGCCTCAGTCAAAATATAAGCATTTCTTTATGTATATCTGTCCTCCTTCCTTGGAGAGAGTTAGCTTCTTAAAGACAAGAAGTGTGATTTACTTATTTTGTTCTCAGAGTCTGGCATATGGTACCATCAAATGAATGATTTAGGAGCAGCCTTTAGACAAAGAGAGTGCTACATGTAGGAATCTCTTGACTGAAGCCTAGGAGAGGACCAGGGCTGGTGTTGTATGCCTGGAATCTGGATGGGGTTCCAGGAAGTGGTGGGAGATGAGGTTAGAAGAGCGGTTGGGAGGGAGATGACTCAGAGCCTGAGCATGTTGGATATTTTCTTGTAAGGCCATTTGCATTTTGTTCTGCAAGCAATGGAGAACCAATAAGACATTAAGCAGGTTAATAGCTGGGTCGTTTGGCATATTGAAAAGAACACTAGGGAACTAAACAGAGAAACAGTCCCAACAGATTCAAGGAGACCAAGGAGACCTGACCTCTAAATGCAAAACGGGATCTCAGATTGGATTCTAGATCAAAAAGAAAACGTAAGTGAAATTTGAATAAGGTCTGTAGTTCATAATTGTACGATATAATAGAGTCATGTTGATGGTTTTGCTAGTAGTCCTATCCTTCCATACGATAGTAAACATCCAGGAAATAAAACAATGAATTCTGTGCAGCAGTTTTGAAATTTTGGGTAAGTTTGAATTATTTCAAGATAAAATAATTTTAAGTGATAAAATATTTTAGTATTTTTACAATTCATGCAGTGTCCCAGTTATAACCTTCATATGGAGTTAATAAGAAGCATTTCTGACAATACCTTAAAAATGAATTAAGTTTAATTTCCATCTGAACATATTGAACCCATTGGTAAAATGTTTATAAGTGTGAATATTTTGAGGTTACCAGTGCTCTGAATTGGAGAGAAAAACAAAGAAATTAAGAAAATATGTTCACTTACTACAAAAGCAGTAAGATTTCATGTCTGCTATGTGGTTGTTCCTAAATATCAGAAATCCATACATCCACATGCATAAGTTCTGGTGTTGCTAGTTACATTCTTTACAGGCATTAATAGTGATGTTTTCATTTTATTTTCCCATGAGCTTTTATTCTTGAATGTCTGATAATGAAAAGGATGAGTTCAGATTTCTCAAAGAAGGGGATAAAAGAGCTTTTCTGGGCTCCGTTTATATTCTTACCTGTAAAAGTCTACATAAAGATTAAATAAACTTTAAAAGTCTAAGAAATTCTATCTTTGACAGCTAGATGTTTTATACAATTGAACTTCAAATAAGTCTTTCAATTTCTATTATATGTTGTCATTTTGTTATAGTCTTTCTTCGGCATAGAGTTTATTCAGACTTTGTGATTCTCTCTAACAAGCAACAATATGTTCACATATCAATTATAGTGCATAACTCCAAACCTTGAATTTATTTTCTTTTCACATTCTGTGTCCATCCAGAGAGTCTTTCACATACACACAATATTCCACCCACATATGCAATCTCAACCCCTTACATATGAAACTATTGTGACCTCCTTTACTGTTCTCTTTATCTGTATATTTTGTCACAAATATTTCTCCTCAAGACTGGAGCTGTTCACCAAGCAGTTCCATTTTGATAATGTCTTTCCAAGTACATTTCAGGCATGACCAGTCTTCTCCCTATGTATTTGAATGTCCACTCAGATCCATCTTGAGACTGTTTCCTTAAAGATCTCATTCAGAGAGAATATCCAGTTCTTTCTACAAGAGCAAACTATACAAATTCTCAAATTGCAATCAGGACCTAGCAAGGATTTTTGTCTGGTAGAATTTTATCGTAGTGAGATTTAAGATCGATTGGATGATCACTGATCACTGAAAAATTAAGACCAAACATTGGGGAAATTAATGGGTTTTTTTGTTTTGTTTTGTGTCAGTCATGGGTCTTGAACTGTGGGCCTGGGTGCTGTCCCTCAG